GTTCAACTTATTCAGGATGTTCTTTAATTTGCGTTGATCTCAATCGACTCCCTAATGGTGAAGTCTTCATATTCTGCAAAAAGTTCGATTTTAGACCATTCTATCTGGTGTCTTGTAGTGATCATATGCTCAGCCACCTCAGATTTTGGAATTCATAAACCTCTGCAGGCGGTTTTGTGTTCTCATAACCTCTTGTATGGGTCGACAAGTCTACCCCACATTGACACTACCACATGAGCACAAAGCTTTGCAACAACCTGATCTGCATAGGGGCGTCTGGAAATTCTCTAAAACAAGTCATGACCGCGAAAAGTGTTAGCATCACTTTAAACATGGCACTGACCCTCCATTTCCTCAGCAATTTGCACATGTTTTTTGAAAGCCGGCAGGATGGTAGCACTATGAATATGGACGAAGAGTTGTCTAATTCCCTGTTTTGTCCCTATTATTTAGTATTTCAAAAGTGAATGTAATCAGCGATTGGCAAAAAGATGTTATCATATTTATCTACTTTTTTACATCATTACCATCTGCAATCGCGGCCGTAAAATGGAACTCAAAATGCCAAGAGCAGTCATGTGAGCGAGTAGGACAGGAAAAGTTGTAAACACTTCGTCACCTTCACACTTTCCGTGGTTCCAAGCACAAACTCACTGGCTCGAATGTTCTCGCGAGATGAGACATTCATTCCACTCATTTGGTCACCTTCTCAGTTCAAGGAGTCACAAGTTCCAGCTCTTGCCTCGCGCTTATCGAATCGCTTCAACGACTAGTACAGTATCGTCCACACTTGGAAAAACCTTTCTCTGTAGAACCTATGCTAACTCAAGCTGTTAACCTGTGTGCGGAATTTCACACAACAATCGATTAATCTTCTGTGAGCATTACTTAGTGCTTGATAAATTGACTCGGAGCTGTCTGCCTGAGATGACCGAGTGTGAGTATCTTTTGGTGCATCAAATACAACCATTAGTTTAGTGGCGGTTTGCTAAAAAGCATGCGTAACCACAGGATATTAAAGTAAGATCATAGCTGAAAACTGATGGACCAAGACATCGAGTCTTGCCATAATAGAATAGAAAATTGGACATATTCTAAAATGCTAGCACGGCTTGTATCGTTACCATAGAAAGATGAGCTCAATAAAAGCGCAGCAAAGCTTAAGCCAATTTGCTTTAATTGTTCGAGTGGCCTAAAAAGTCTCATGTGAACTTACAAACAGTTACGATATTTCGTAGATCAAATCAGTACCTCAATAAATGACAAAAGAACTTTTACAAGATTCGCAGAATTTGTTCGTGTTTGCTGTCAAAACAGCGCGCAATATGTGACTTTTGATAAAAGAAATTCAAACACTATTTAACTCTTTTTTCGTTAAGAAGTAGATTTTTTAGACTACCAGTGGAGCACATACATGAGGTGTATTCACCCACATTCCCACATTCATATGAGTAGACCTTACGTTTCCATTGAATTTCGCATGGCCTTGCTTTCCCAAAGGCTATTCACACCCAGGCCGGAGTGGATTTCATTTTCGAACTCGCCTAGATCCTATCAACACTCCCAGCATGATTCGAATCATGACAGTGTAGTAGTCAATCTCGACACGTTAAAACATTACACCACATTTCCACGGGTGCTCTTGGGTGACAGAGCAGATGTGAATTTCAAGGAAGGCCAGGCATTTTCTCAAATCACATTCTGTGTTCTACGCTGCACTGTCATGGTTGCAGTCCCGCTGGGGATGTCGACAATTTCTATGCGAGAATACCTTTCGGGTAAGCAAGGCTAAGTGAAACTCAATGGAAACGCCATGTATACTCATTGCATTGTGGCAAAATTCAACTACTAATCACCCTATCACCCTAAATGAAATAGGGTGAAGACAACTCATTTATATGATCTACAAGTAGTCTCGAAAGCCTACTTAAAACGAGTCATTACTCTCTACCTAGACTGATTAATTAGATATAATTATAATCTACTTATTTATTAAAGAGTAGTGTGTTAGCATAATATTGAACAAAATTACGCATACTATGTCTATTTTTTCCTCCATTATTTCGCATAACCTCCACTAACGGTACGCATCATCACAACATATGTATATGCCTATAAATATATATAAATGCAAAAATGAAATCATCTGCACAATTCAGAAATGGGCATCGAATTCATCGGTCCCTACAAACAATTGCCTCTCGTCACTGAGCCTACCCTCCACTCCAGCGCCAATGGAGCCGTGAAATTGTCGCAGCTTAGGCCATTTCACAATCGGTCAACCGGCTCAGTCACCCCGCTCGGCCATTTCACTAACCGTTTGGGCAAAAGGCTTCCGAACACCTTATCCGCCTGGTCAGATGAACCAGCCTACAGCTCTTCTGCCTCGATTAGTGTAGCCGACTCTTGGCCTTCAGAAAGCCTCCCGACAGGAGGGTATTGTCACCCCAACCGACTCGTCAGCAAGGACGGCCTTTTGCCAGTGGTCCTTGAGGCCGGGCCGGAGACTGAGATGTCGAGTACCACCGTCACCAGGTTGGCCACTCGAGAGGAGGGACACTCCCCGTCTGGCTCCAGCCAAATCTGGACGGATGCGGAAATAGTGGCCAGGGGTGCTGGATTCAAGCTGAACTACGCCGACTCCGGTCACCAACGCAACAAAAAGGCATCGGCCGCACCAGAATCCAGAGGCGACGGGATTCTAGAAACCGACACTCAAGACATTCATCTTCTCTTGCTGGTCATGTCACTCTGCCACACAGTCCGTGTTGAGCGTTTTTTCCCCGACGACTTAATGCTCGAGCCCAGTACCGAAGGAGAAGAAGAAGGTTCTGTCAGAATTCAGTTGTCACCGGCCCACACGACCGTGATGGAGGCGGCGGCAGGAACTGAAGAGGCTTCTGTGAATGCAAACTCGTTGCCGAGGCACTCGGTCCAGGAAACGCCGAACAAGAGTCAGAGCTCAGAACTGAAAAGGAGGCGACCGGTCTCCGCAGTCTCTGGACTTAGCATAAGTCGCTATGGTGACTCGATTGGCAGTAAGGCTGGCAGTTTCACCACAGTTGGTTGTGCCACATGTACGGGTATCGGTGACGCCGGCAGCACAGCGACGGCAACGGCAACGGCGACCGGCGTCTCGCCCAACAGCCAACATCCGAGTGGCAAGAAACCTCCTCGTCGTGGCAACAGCGCCCTGCGTCGCGCCTCGGCCGCCAAATCGGCAGCCGCGGCTGCAAGACGCCTCGGCCCAGGCGGTCGAGGTGGCGGATATCGTTCGGACGGCTCGGAGTACAACTACCAGGTGGGTGGTGGATGGTATGTGATGAACACTTCCGTGACCTCTTGCACCCTCGGGACGATCGTCGTCAGTATGACCTGACGGCCAGACTCAGTTTTAGCCTGAGTTGAGTTGTCATGACTGTTGACCTTATCAACCAGACTCTTGGAAATAGGATCACAAATTGGTGAATGCCACGATTCCTCAGTCGCTGCCTCATTTGGCTTTAGGCGCCGAGTGTAGATTATCCCCAGTTGGTAGCATTTTGCTTCGAAACAATGAACCGAGGCTTCCATTAGAACCATGAAAGTGTAATGCTTTCGGGTGGCAGGCAAAAAGGGGACATTTGCTCTTTTACTATGAGATGTATTCACGCTATTTCGTTTAAAGTGATGAAAACTGGTAGTCGAATTTTCCCACAATGCTATGAGTAGAGCTGACGTTTCCATTGAATTTCACAATCCCACCAAAGAATATGAGATGGAATTCACATATGCCCTGTGACCCAAGTGATTAACATGTAAAGTTCCCATTCTGCAATGTGACATTTCGACTCCCGCTGTGGATGTTGATAAGGCCTATGCGTGGTCGAAACTGCCGTCCACTCCAGCCGGGATGAGAACAACTTTTGGGAAAGCAAGCCTATGTGAAATTGAACGAAATCGGGTGAATACATCTCATATGACTAAATTATTTTTCATGATTTGCTGATAGTTTCCAAGTCTGCTTGTATCGAATATAAGTAAAGATATTATTATAAATGGCTGTTCATTTCAAAGGAAGAAATTTGTAAATTGGTAATGCCGAATGCCGAAGAAAGATTGTCTTTGAGAGCTGTTGTCTATCATATAACCAACATCGTCAAAGGGAGAAAGCAAACTTTGCAACAACACCCGTCAAATAGAATAAACCAAGAAGTAAGTGTGGCCTGGTGTACTCACACTCACTTTTAGTGTCTGACTATGCGATCCTGATGAAGCATCATATGATTTGGAAATGGTTTAACCTCGTTTTCGCAACTTTGTCGGGTTGTTATGGTGCACTATTTAAACACAAGTTGGACAGCGCAAATAGGAGTAAATAACAACGCCAGTCTTTCTGCATGTGAACAAAAATACTTTCATCTTTTCGCGGTAAAAACAAAATAACAATAAAATATGTTAAATTAGAAATTTGTTATGCTTGTATACTTATAATTTTACTTATACTTAGTGATTTATACAGCACGATATAATACCAACATTTCAACTAATGACTTGAATGTTTCACAATTATTGTCTAGCCAGAGATCACGCTAAGTGAAATAGAATGCACAAAATTTGCATGTTCTTTGCAAGTTCAAGCTAGAAAAGCCTCACATTTTATTGGGATTCCACTTTTCATTCGGCTCCGATACGTATATATGTTGAAAGAATGAATTTCGAGAAGTACTTTTAAGTTGGTTTAAAGAAACAGGTGGAAGCACTTGTTAGCACAAATCTAGAGTCACATTTCCAAAAAATCCTTTTTCGCCTTCCGGTTTTGAAAATTTACAAATCCCTTCCATTCGATTCTGCAAACGATACAAAAAGGTACATCAAAATAGAATATGTATGGCATTTCTTTGGCACATCCAAAAACGATACCCTGAAAGTGGTTGCTATATGTAAACTAGCATTCTTTACGCGTATCTTCTTGCTTGTCTTTTGCATATTTCTGTTGGGTCGAGACGGCTATTCCACTTGCATATTAACCTCTTGCCAGCATTTTAAACTAAAATACATTCAAGAAAAGTCCACTTCTCCTTCTTCCGGCACGAACACGTCCGATGGACTTTCAAAGTGTCCACAGGACAGGCTCTGAGTAGGCAGCCGGTCGAATGGCCACCAAAGAAGATCGCAAATCTACTTCAGTCGCCCAGCCCAGATGCATATACCGACCTCTCAGCAACCGTTGAGATCACACTTTCTAGCCAGAATATGACCTTGTCTAACCTTACTAGACTTAACTGAGTACGAACTTTCAGTTAACCTGATAGCAATAAAAGTACGACTTGGAAGGTGTGGGGCTAAAGTAGGTTGGCTTTAGTTGCGTCCTTTCGTTTTGTGTTTTCATCACGTCAACTGTTGGCATTCAATGCGTGAGGGTTGAATTCTGCGGCCAGAGGCCTTTGCAGGTAGTCAGGGCAACGGATTCTCAAGGCAGCATGCGAGTTGAGGACTGGAAACTTCGGTTCTACACTTTCATTGAGGCACTCTGTGCACTTTTGGCTAAAATGATGGTTTTGTGATACACGCAAGCATGAGAAGGCACGACTATGCGTGCCCCTGAATGTGAAAAAATATGACGTAAAAGGTCGCAGAGGCTACGAAACTTGGTCATACAAACAGTACATTTAATTTATCCTTTAAACCAAGAGCCAGAATCGTAGATGCGACGACCAAGTTGTTGTGACCTCTGTATCGGTCGCCATCGCCTTTTGCTGTAAACAAGTGCCAAGGCAACCTGGATGAATGTACCAAGTCGACCATTCGACGCTGGGACTTATCATAACAGCTGACAAGCTGCGGCGAAGTTGCAAAAACGGGGCCAACCCACTGCCAAAAGCCAGAAGGTCGCAAGATGACCGACTAAGAATAGGGAAGCTTATTCGAAGGAATGAGCTGCGAAAACGAATAAAATCAAAAACTTTATTAAATCATTATTCTTTATTGGAGCATTAGTTGCCCCAGTTTGCTTGGGTTGAGAAGAGACGGGACTTATGAGACGGAGAGGCAAGTTTGTATTTGCCATTATGAGCGATTACGCTACTTATTTACGTTGTGGATATGATTCTATAG